ATACCCCCAAGGAATCTGCCTTCTGTTCCACCAGCCTGTTTATTTAGCTGCTCCATGATGGAACAAATGTCATGGCTATAATGCTCTCGTTCCTTCTTTCTTCCCAGTTTTAACCCTGAAGTCCAGAGGTACCCAATAAACCATCAAAAGACTCTTACCTGCACAGAAGGCATGGCCCAGGGAAAATATTGTATCTGGCACACTCTCTCCCAACAACAAACTGATAATATCTATGTCATGCACGGCAGCATTGTAAAAAATTCCACCTGGAAGAACCAAAACTGGGCATTAATGTTTCCATATTGAAACCCACAGCCAATGTACATTTCTGAACTGCACAGAGATGGTATAAAAAGCCCCCACAGTGAAGGAACTAATTCTAAAGGGACAAAAAAATGCACAGAAATGAAGTTTGGTAAAGAAAACACTCCTCAAAAAACACTCCTCCCCATGGATCTGAAGGCTATACAAATTCAGGTGAATTCCCACAGAGCATAAAGACACTTCCAGGACAGCTTTCGGATCAACCTAGTCTGGTTAAGGTGTCTCTGCCCATGGCAGGGGGTGGAACAGATAAGCTTAAAGGTCCTTTCCCACCCAAACCATTCCATGACTCTGAGTGAAGCCCAGACTCTTCAGCAGGGAGCTGCTGGTTACCTGAGGCTTTCAGCAGGCTCAGAGAGGCCGCAGGATAGAGGCTGCTGCTGGTCCATATCCGCTGGATCCTGCCCAGCGCCCGGCTGTCCCGCACCTTCTTGTACAGGAACTGCAGGGCTGGGTCAAAGCGCCTTCCAAGGGAAACAAGGAATGAGGTGAAACCAAGCTGATTTGAGGACAAAGGCAGGAAAGCCTGAGGAATCAGTGCTGCTTCCAGACATGTGATTTTATCAAGAATAAATCACAGGAAAAACACAGGTCTTACTTGTAGAACCCACACACGAGAGGCCTCCCACACCTGTCGGCCTCATCGAAACAGGCTTCTGCTGTCTGTCTGTCCAAGCTGGGCAGCCCCTCACAGAACACACCTTTACCTGTGCAAAACAGGACACACACAGGGCTCAGGGGAGACACAGCTGCACAAAACACCTTGATCTTGCAGTATCCGCTCGTTACATTTCTGGTTTTGATGCCATTTTCCCCCTTCTGCCTGCCTGCTGTGGTTGCAGCTGTCCCAGACCCCAGGAGTGCGACTGTTTTGGTGACAGCTTTCCTGTGAGCCCTGGTGGGACTTTAGGATGAGACACTGCCCAGTCATACTGGGACCAGCTTAGCACAAACCCCACTGGTGTCCAGCCATTGACATCAGCAGGGATCTCAGTCACTTTAATTACTCAATTTGAGAGCCTGCACAGCTCCAGCGCTGCTGCTGAAACACAAACACACTCACAAGTGCACATCAATGGGCACAGGGAAAAGCTGAATGTGCAGCTGCTCCTCTCACCTGCTCGTAAGGCATCTCTTACCATCTCAGGGGCTTTGTCAGGTGGGCAACAAATAATGGCTCCAGAGACTCTGCAGGAATCAAGACAGATCTTCAGTAAGGACAAGGTTTTCACGAGATCAAACAGTGCTCAAAACATCTATTTGGTTACAGTTAAAAAAACCTAAAATCCCGCTGCTCTGGAAGAGCCAGGTGGGTTATAGAAGGAACTTGGTGCTTGCTCCAAAGATGAAATATAGAGCGACACACATAGGTTGAAATCACAAGTGACACAAAGGAATTGCACTGCTTTTCCTGCATCTTCTAGGAGAAAGTATTTTAAAGGTTTTCTTTAAAAAGGATTTAAATCCTATCAGTTAACACACACAGAGAAAGCCAAAGTATTTATGTGGTAGAGCTGCTGATCAATGCTTCCTTAGCTTCCTCTGATTCATTTTTTAATATCAAATCTGCCTTTCCTAAAAGCTCTGCTTTTGCTCCTGCAATATTTTAGACATGACAGCAACAGCACCTCAGTGATGTTACAGTTGTTCAGTTCAACTGTAAAGCAAAATGCCAGAATCCTCCCTATTTACACCAACCCTTGCTTATCTCAGAGCTCCAAGAGCCACCAAACTCAGTTGACTGCTCTGAGACAGGGAAACTGGCAGGCAGCAGGGAAGGTGTCATTTACTATTGCTCTGTGGGAATGGAGGAAAATGTTTTTTTTTTTTAATTTTTGTTAAGAAAACTGCCTGTAACTGAACACCTCCAAGTTTCCATTAATCTGGGTACACAAACCCAGAGACTCCTGAAGGACCCGTGGCTAGGTGACAAAAGGACCCCTCACTCCCACACAGATGGCCAGAGGCACAGTCTGGGGCTAACACAGTTTCCTAGAGGGGAAGGCAAGGCTTGTATGGAACCCCCCTCCCTGAGCAGAGCCACACCCAGGAGCTGGTGGCCGTCAGTACCGCGGATCGCTGAGCGCCACGCTGGCATCCTGCTGCCGCAGCACCCTGGTGCCAGCCGGGACCTGGGTGCCAAAGCCACGTTCCACCTCCTCCAGCTGATCCTCCAGCACGTACAGCAGGCAGCAGCCCGCTTCCTCCAGCAGGCTTTGCAACAAGGCTGTGCTCACGAGCCCTGCGCCGAACAGCACGAGGCCGGCGCTGCTGCCACCGTGAGATGAGGGAGGTGCTGGGCTGTTGGAGGCATCAGGTGCGGGCCCACTTTGGCCAAGAGGTGCAGTCCTGGTGTGGAAGGTGGCCAGCGGTGAGGGGTGGCTGGTGGAGGGTGTTGGGTCGTCCCTGTGCGTGGCGGGGATGGGGTGGTGGGGAACCAGCAGCTTCTGGTAGGAGGGCGGGGAGGGCACCATGCTGTAGCCAGTGCCAGATCCACTGGTGATGAGGAAGGAGGGATGGGAGAGCAGGCAGGGCACGTCGAGTGGCAGGGGCAGGCTCAGGTTCAGGCTGGAGTCAGGACCTGCAGAGCTGAGGAGACAGAGACCAGAGGATCAGAGAATATCCTGAGCTGGAAGTTTTTTTTTTTTAATTTTTGTTAAGAAAACTGCCTGTAACTGAACACCTCCAAGTTTCCATTAATCTGGGTACACAAACCCAGAGACTCCTGAAGGACCCGTGGCTAGGTGACAAAAGGACCCCTCACTCCCACACGGATGGCCAGAGGCACAGTATGGGGCTAACACAGTATCCTAGAGGGGAAGGCAAGGCTTGTATGGAACCCCCCTCCCTGAGCAGAGCCACACCCAGGAGCTGGTGGCCGTCAGTACCGCGGATCGCTGAGCGCCACGCTGGCATCCTGCTGCCGCAGCACCCTGGTGCCAGCCGGGACCTGGGTGCCAAAGCCACGTTCCACCTCCTCCAGCTGATCCTCCAGCACGTACAGCAGGCAGCAGCCCGCTTCCTCCAGCAGGCTTTGCAACAAGGCTGTGCTCACGAGCCCTGCGCCGAACAGCACGAGGCCGGCGCTGCTGCCACCGTGAGATGAGGGAGGTGCTGGGCTGTTGGAGGCATCAGGTGTGGGCCCACTTTGGCCAAGAGGTGCAGTCCTGGTGTGGAAGGTGGCCAGCGGTGAGGGGTGGCTGGTGGAGGGTGTTGGGTCGTCCCTGTGCGTGGCGGGGATGGGGTGGTGGGGAACCAGCAGCTTCTGGTAGGAGGGCGGGGAGGGCACCATGCTGTAGCCGGTGCCAGATCCACTGGTGATGAGGAAGGAGGGATGGGAGAGCAGGCAGGGCACGTCGAGTGGCAGGGGCAGGCTCAGGTTCAGGCTGGAGTCAGGACCCGCAGAGCTGAGGGGACAGAGATCAGAGGATCAGAGAATATCCTGAGCTGGAAGGGACCCACAAGGATCATCAAATCCAACTCTTGAGAACACCCTGCACAAGAACACCCCAAGAATGCCACCATAGGGTGAGGATGCTGTCCAAATGTTTCCTGAGTGGGGTCAGGTGAGACAGATAATTAAAGAATCATTAAGACCACCAAGATCATGAAGGCAGACCTTTGACTGAACACCTCCTTGTCAATTAAACCACAGCACTCAGTGCCACCCGCAGCTCCCTCAGCCACTCCTCACAGGACTGACTCCCCATCCCTTTCCCCAGCTCCATGCCCTTCTCTGGACACGCTCCAGACCCTCAATGTCTGTTTTGCAGTGAGGAACAGAACTGGGCAAGGCACTCGAAGGGTCTCAGCAGTGCCCAGCACAGGGGGACGGGCACTGGTCCAGCTGGGGACACTGCTCTGGGCTCGGGTGAGACTGAGATAGGGCAGGTGAGGCAGGGAAAGGCCTTGGGGTGAGCCGGAGCAGGGGTGGGTCAGGTGAGACTGAAATAGGGTGGATGAGGCAGGGAAAGGCCTTGGGGTGAGCCGGAGCAGGGTCGGTCAGGTAAGAGTAAAATGAGGCGGGTGAGGCAGGGAAAGGCAGGATGAGCCCGAGCAGAGGTCGGTCGGGTGAGACTGAGATTGGGTGGGTGAGGCAGGGAAAGGCAGGACGAACCCGAGGAGGGGTCGGTCGGGTGAGACTGAAATAGGGTGGATGAGGCAGGGAAAGGCCGGGTAAGCCCCAGCAGGGGTGGGTCGGGTGAGACTGAGATTGGGTGGGTGAGACAGGAAAGGGCAGGATAAGCCGGAGCAATGGTCGGTCGGGCGAGGCAGGGAAAGGCCGAGGGGTGAGCCCGAGCAGCTCTGTGTCCCTCACCGGAGCCCCGGGGCGCGCAGCCCGAGCTGCCGGAGCAGGCGGCGGTTGCGGCAGTGGCGGCCCGAGCTGAGGTGCTCCAGGATGCGGTCGCGGCGCACCCTCAGGGGCAGCTGGCACGGCGTGCACAACAGCGTCTCCACGGCGCCCGCCCGGCCCGGCCCCGCCGGCTCCCGCCGCACCGACAGCTCCGAGAACTCGGCCGCGTAGTCGTGCAGCGTCTTCCTCCTCCGCCCCATGGCCCGGCCCCGCTGACTCGGAAGCGGAAGGCCCGCCCGCCTCACGCCGTTGCCCGGCAGCGGCCCCGCTCCGAGCCCCGCGGCGCCGGGAGAGAGCCCGGCCCCAGCCCCAGCCCCAGCCGATGGAAGCCGATGACTCGCAGGGACCAGAGCTCACCGAAACCATGGGACAGCTCCAGCAGGAGCTGCGGAAAGCCAAGGATGACCACAAAATGGCCATAGGTACATGGGGGAGTGCCCAGAGCACACCTTTACCTGCCTAGGTCTCATTCAATTCGGCTCCTTTCACCTTGGAAACATTACAGGGTGTCGCTCACAGGCTGAAAAGCCGCTTGTTTTGTAAACAGTTTCTTTCTGCCCTTGGAAGTGAAGAACATGAGAAAACCCGGCAGAGAAAGCGCTGAGCAGAGTGGCAAAGCAGGGCTCGAGGTGCCCACTGTGCATGTTCTCAGAGCAGTGCCCACCTCAAAGCTGGGTTGTTTAATACACAAGGAATAACAAAATGGTTTGGGTTGGAAGGACTTTAAAAATCAGCCAGTGCCACCCCCTGCCACGGCAGGGACATTTTCACTATCCCAGGTTGCTCCCAGCCCTGTCCAACCTGGCCTTGGACACTTCCAGGGATCCAGGGGCAGCCACAGCTTCTCTGGGCACCTGTGCCAGGGCATCCCCACCCTCACAGGGAAGAATTTTTTCCATTTATCCAATCTAACCCTGCTCTCTATCAGTGTGAATCCATTCCCCCTTGTCCTGTCACTCCAGGACCTTGTAAACAGTCTCTTTCTTGTCAGCTCCCTGTGGTACTGGAAGGCCACAATTAGTCACCCTGAAGTGAAACCACCTTTTCCTCCCCAGGCTGTGCAAACCCACATCCCACAAACCACATTATCACCCAGAATTACTGTGGCTGCAGCATTAATGGGTCCCAAGTCTGGTCCCAGACTGTTCCCACAGTGGCTTTGGCTTATGCTCACCTGAAAAAAAGCAGCCACAGCGTTCAGGAGGGATTTGCTTTGCTAACAGAGTACTCTCCCACTTTACAGGTGCCATCTCTTCCTTGCAAAGACAGATGGAGATCCAAGAATCTGAGCTTCGGAGAATCAGATCTGAAAAGGAATTGCTCCAGAAGCAGCTCAGAGAGAGAGAAGTCCAGCTCCAAGCTGTGTCTGACAAGGTATGGCCCAAGAGCGTGGTGGCCATGGCTAGCAGGAGACAGGGCAGCTGGGAATTTGGGATTTTTGCAACATGTCCCTCTCTCACAGGCAGGAGGGGCACCTGTAGCTGTGAAACTGAAGTGTAAAATATTCTCTTTCCAGTTGTGCAGCCTGACAGAAGAACAGAGGCAGGAAGAAGCGGTGGTGATGATGCAGGAGGAGAACCACAACCTTCAAAGGGTGAATTCGTGCAAAGCCTCTACATAAAAGTCTGGTGTTTGCTGGTTCACTGGGCTGGTTTTAGGGATGGTGGAGTTTGGCATATAAAACCCCCACTCAATCCAAGTAGTTTTAGAGAAAACACCAAATAATAAGAGCTACCAGTACTGGTGAGACTGTCAGTCCATAGATTTTGCCCAGGAAACATATGGATCAAATAGTGGGAAAATGAGGCCAAACTTGCTCACTTTCTTCTCCCCAGTGACAGCTGGATTTCTGTATCTGCTCAGGTTGTTACAGAACAGGAATTACAGCTGGCTGAGCAGAACAAGCTCATCAGTGAGTTACAGGGGACAATCAGCCAGCTGCAGGCTGAGGTTGTGAGCACCCGCCTCCATCTCCTGACACAGAAACAGGCCCAGAAGGAGACCCAGAGCCAGGTTGAGACACTGCAGCACACAGAGCTGCAAAGCAGAGTGGCACTGGAGCTCATCAGCAGCAAGGTAAGCGTGGCCTCTTTCACCTCAGTGCCCTGTCTCCCTCTTGGGACACACTTGGGAATCTCAATCCATTTGCTCCCTAGCTGTGGAGCAGGCAGCTCTTGTGCCACTTAAAAAGAAAACAGACCACAAATACCAGAAACTCTTGAGAAACAGGAGTTCAGATCAGTTACATCACCAGATTTCTAACATCCTTCCAGACCCAAGGTAACAAGAACCACCCTAAAGTCTCCTGCAGGCACATGTGCCTGGTGCCAGGGGAAGAGCCTTGGCCCACCTAGACCCACATGATTACCACAGCACTTTCAGTGAAGCCCAAACTGCCTGTAATTTCACATAAACACATTTCCACATCATCATTCACCAGTCCTTTGCCCAAGCCTGACAGCACAGTCTCTGTAAATCAGTGCAAATGCCAAGGACTTGCACATAAAGACTGAACACACCTGCTCTCTTCTTTTATCCAAAGTTTGAAAGGTTTAGAAACAAAATAATCCAGGCTACGTTCAGCGTGGAGGGCAGCCAGGACCCCCAGGCCGAGCTCACAGATGATGAAGTGCTGGAGGCAGTGCAGGTATGTGGCTCTTCCAGACAGCTTCCAGCAGCCAGGAAGGCACTGCTGAGGTAAGAGGACACTTTGCAGTGCTGCTCCCAGCTTTCCCTCCTCTTCACATATCGCTGATTTTCAGAAAATCTTTAACGAGCGGACGGAGTTCCAGCAGATGCTGAAGAACAAGGGCAGCAAGACGTCACTGCTCAGCAGCGACAGCAGCACAGCATCACCAGCAAGGAGAAGGAAATCCTCCAGGATGGAAAGGCTCTGATGGCTGAGCCAGAACCCATGGTCAGCCTCAGGCTCTGGGCTCTCAGCTCGGAGCTGGTGCCTTACAACAGATTAAACTCATTTTACTGACACCAAGTTCTGTGGGAGTATCTGATTCAATTGTTTCAGCCAGCTCAGAGCACAAGTCACTGGAAGTCCTTGGTCTGTAGTAACACTTGACTTCCCAGAGAAGCCTGAAGCACAAGGATGGCTTGGCTACAAGCAGCTGAGCAGTGTATAATTCCCATTTCTGCCTTGGGAAGTTTTTAAGTGACCTGACTGAACATCCCCCAATGCCAAAACGAGGGACAGTGCCAGGGCTGCAGAAGCTGTTTTATTTTTCCATTCCATGTGCAAGTCCCAACATGGGGATGTATTTGACACAGCAGCAGTTCAGTTAGAGCTCTGAGATATCATTTTTACCAGAAGAGAGTCAATCTGGGGGGTCACCCTGGCTTAGGGAGAGGTGTGAGTTCACACCAGTGCTCACCCACTCAAATAGGTCACCCAGAGACTGCCAAACAAGAACTGCTCCAACTGCCTGTATTTTGGAAGCCAAAAATATGTGGGTGGGGCAGAAAGCTCCAGGAGGGTCACTCTGGGCATCAGTGCCTGTACTCTGAGGGGACAGGGAGTTCAGCAGCTGGAGGCAGCTCTGAATGGACCTGAACCTCCTCAGCAAGAACAAAGCCAGTGCTCAACCACAGTGACACTCTGGGCACACACAAGGTCACCACAATTCCCACAGGGATGGAGGGTGGCCCTGAAATGCACTGGGACACACAAACCCTGCAGCTGACTCAACAAATCCCTTAAAAATGGAAGCTGTGCTCATGACTGAGCACAAAAACCGTCACTTTAAAACACATCCCTCAAGTTCTGACAGCAATTAAATGCTTCCAACAGCAACTAAATGTTCACAGTTACTCCAAATAAAATTTTGCAGAACAAGATGTCAGCAAAATGCTTTGGCATTCTGACTCCAGGTTGTACCCAGCAGAGGACCTCAGTTCCACACTGTCAATTCCTGCATTTCTCTGCTGCCATAATAATGATCCAGATGAAACACCAGGAGGAAAAAGTGATCTTGCAGAACAATGTGGCTGTGCTTGTTTTAAACACTAATGATTTTCTCTACTGCATTCTGACATCCAACAGCTTCTCCACCTTCAGTCCATGTTTGAAGATGCTGCTCTTTTGCACAGGCCTAACATGGATGATCTCTGTTAAGGATGAAAGATCCCAATTTTCCTTGCTGTAGCTCAAACTCTGAAGCCATTGCCTTCCCAGCAGGATGCTCCACATCTTTTCTTTAAAAACCCAAACCATCTCACTGTGCACCAGTTGTGTTGTTGAATACATGGAAAAAACCCAAAATAAAGGCAATGGAATCCTCTCTCAGCTCAGGCAGCTGCTAACGGATCACAGTCAGCAGAGAGGAAACTGTGGCCAGGTCTGTTTTTGAAGGATAAAGTACTTTCAAGTTCCCATCCGTGTCCACCACTCGCACCTGCTCCAGCACCAAGGGCAGGTCCAAATTCCCTGCTCCACAGAGAGCATCCGATTCCATATCTGAACCAGAGCCTTCCTTGTTCTCCAAGGCAGATCTGTTCAGCTCTGCAATTTTCTGTTAAAACCAAAGTACAGAAAACAACATCAATTCTGTGGCAGAGAAGAAAGAGAGGGGGTAACAATACCACTAAAATACAAATCAGCTTCTGTGTTCTTCTCAATGCATGTGAGCAATGACACATTTGGTAGGAGCCCCCCAAAACAGAAGAATATTTTCCTGAACTCCCTACCAGGATAAGGGTGTCCATCACATCTTTGCAGATCTGTAAACTGGTATCACTTGTCACTTCCAGAAACAGGTCCCGGGTCTCTTTTCTAATCTGTAAGAGTTTCAGAGAAGAAGCAAGTCAGCAGTCACAGCAGCTTACTCACAGCCCCCTGGACATGTCCCAGCACACAGAGCTGAAGGCTTTCACTCAGTTTAATCAGGGGCAAAGCTCTGCTGTTCTTTACAAATCAAAAGCCATATTCTTACCCTTCAACAAAGCCTTTGCACAGGCAGGCTAGTGCTTTGGAACAGATTTACAGAGGTAAAACTGTAACTAACTCCCAGATCCCTCTCAGTTTGACAGTGGAGCCCAAATAAACTGTAAGAGTTTATACTTGGACTAAAGCACAAGTTTCACAGAACTGTGTTAAACATCTCTCAACTAAACATCTCTCAATAGAAAGAAACACTGCTTAATTATTAAGTATTTATGGTATTTCCATAAAGTATTATGGTATTTCAATGAATGGGAAGTACCTTTGTTTTCTCACTATTGGTTATTGGTGGGAAGGAAATCACAGCACCTTCAGCATCCACCAGGCACGGGTAGCTGTCTTTGCCATCCAGCAGCTGCAGGTACCTGCCATGGGAAACAAAGCAGCAAGAAGTGAGCAACTGAGAGAGCAGCTGGACACAAGGGCAGGAAATAATGACAAAAAGGAATTAGTGTGTGACCTCAGCACAGGGCAGGGCCACTCACTCCCTTACAGCCCATCTGCTACTACGTCAAGTTTACCTCATCCCTGATTCCCTTAGCTCACAGCATGTGCACCACACAGCCTTCAATCCTCTCTGCTTCCCTTCTACCTGCTGTTCTAAACACATCTGTCACGTCTCCAGTGCAGTCCCCTAAAGGTATGAGGGAAAACCACAGCAAGGCACTGACTTGTGCAGCCCAGAGACGTTCTGACGCTTCTTCTGCTTGCGCTGCTCCTCAGCCTCCAGCTGCAGCTGCCGGAGAAGGTCCTTTGCCTTGATCTCCTTCCGACCCAGGGGCATGATCTGCACCACACAGCAAAACATTTTCATTCAATTGCACTCAAACACCAGGGTTACAACACTCCCCTGTAAGCAAGACAATAATTAAACAGTATTCCTGCATGTTGTCATGCCTTTTTCACCATGGAAATACTTTCCATTTCACCTGGACTCCTGTAACACCCACTTGAAAAACAGGCTCAGCTGCTAGTACTAAACCAGGCACCTGGTACACCAGGACAGCAAAGAAATCAGTACAACATCTAAAGTAAAGTTCCTGGAGTTTGTTTTCTAGGTTTTGTGGGGTAAGAAAGAACCCTTAAGCCCTACCTTGAGCTCGTCAGGAGGCTGAACATCATATGTCAGAGGAGCTTTGACCAGCTGCAAGTCGTGGGTGGCAATGGTGGCCACTGTGCGCTTCTCACAGATGTCCTCGTGCAGCTTGGTCTGAAACATAAAGGAAGCCATTAAAATAGATCAAAAAGTCAGTGTGATTTATCCCTTTTATCTTCTATATTTAATGCTGGCAGCACTACCAAGCAGGTGACTAAAACAGAGCCTTTCCCTTCCCTGTATCACTGTTACATCCCAAATGCAAAGCCTGACAACACATGTTTCTCTACAGGGAAACCAAATTTTAAGTCAGAAAGCAATCCCAAATACTCAATCCTTGCAACCTGAAAGCAGCTCCCACCTGCCACCTAAGGGACAGGTGAGCAGCAGGCCCAGGGACAGGTCTGTGGGCAGGATACCTCAGTCAGAAAGCTGGGTGTGTAACATGGTTTTAACAGATCAGCAAAGCTGGAGCCAACCCAGGGGACACAGGGTTATTTTTAGCTTTTAACAGGATCCACAGCACTAACAAGCTGCTGTTACAGCCACAACACAAATGTGAGTGCGTCCATTGCCCTCATGGCAATACCTGAGCTCTGATGGGTCCTTCCCAAAAACCAGTTCTGCTGATTTCAGACTGACTAGGCATGTGCTGCCAGCAGGGACAACTCGCCCTGTACCCTCACACCTGCTGGGCGACGAGCTCACCTTAAGTTTCCCAAACTCATCTGCTGGAAGAGACCTAAAACTGTCTATTTCCAACTCTGCCAGCAATATTCCCATTCCAAATGAAGACCACGAGGCTGCAGCTGTTACCTGCATAGTCAGGAACCTCTTGAGAGTGTTTCCCGGCTTTAAGTTCACTCCTTTCAGCACACAGCACACGATGAAGGCTCGCACATCTTTGACACCCGGGCTCACTTTGACCACCAAAGGCGCTGGGTTCTCGGAGACGTGCAGAACCTTCACCAGCAGCTTGCTCGCCTCTTCCACCTCATCCTGCTCCACATCCCCACTGTCCTTCTTCTGCTGCTTCTCCCTCTTCTTCTTCCTGACGTCCTCTCTGCCACTCTCAGCCTTCCCCTTCCCTCGGCCCCCGGCCCGCAGGTACTCCAGAATGGCCTTCGTCTGGCACCCATT